GGAGCTTAAGGGCGGTTACCATGCCTCCCAAGACAGGTAGAGGAGCCTCAGTTGCAAGCACAAAACCCCACAAAACAAAAGATGCATATACACAATCATCCTCTTCCCAAACCCCTTCCAAAAAAACCTGGTATGATAAAGTCGAGGAAGATGAAGAAGCTATGTGTGCTAGTCCATCTCCATTAATTACAAATCAGTTTTCAGCCCTAAACACAATTCCCCAACATGTCATAGACATGTCCCCAATCCAGTATGACCCCATCCAAACATATTTACAATCCCAACAACCAGTTTTCCTTCCTCTTCAAAAAACTTATGCTGCAATTTCTTCAGCATCAGACAAACAAATTTCCTCAAGATCTGTTTCACAGCAAGTGGTGGTCAACAATCCCACACTCAAAAAATCTCGTTATTTTTAAAAACCAAATTCATCAACCATTTGTGTGGTTGAAAAAAAACTTTTTAACCAAAACCCAATTTTACTTTCTCAAAATCATTTTGTCAAAGGTTTTCAATATCCAACATCAGATTTTCGAAAAACACAAAATTTTTATGAGTTTATTTTAGTGGACATTGATTCCATCAAAATTCGAACTCATTCAAAACCAGGTGATGAGTCTTTCATTTCTCACACCACATATACCATTCAAAAAGTCATTACTCCGACAGCCTGGGGTAAAAACATCAATGCTCCAAGGCAATTTTCTCAGCCTTGCAACCCTCAAACTTTCAATTACTCGGACTATCAAGATGCCTGGTACAATACATTTTATTTCCAAAATCAGGATTATAGCCATTCCTAGCTTATCCTTTTCCAAAAGAATTTCAATCTAAATGTCCCCAGATGGTTCATTGACTGGTGGCATATGTTTGGTCCCTGTCAAGAAATTATCCCTGAAACGGCGTCCAAGGGATTTTCAATTTTCAATGAAAAATTCCAAGCTCCTCCTGAGCTTTCGGAATTTCCCAAATCATTCTTATTTTTTACAAATTTTGCATTGTCATGGATAGTTCTATAGCAATTCCAAATCCTCAAAACCCCTTCCAATCTTTCTCTTCTAGGAAGGATTTTCAAAGTCAAATGGTGGGACCAATTCTCTATCAAGGATGTTACTCCAGAAGCAATTTCAGAATGGTTCTCAAAGCATCCTGCAATATCATGTTCTGACTTAGGAGAGTCTTCGGCTTTCCTCCTATCCAAAAGCCAGACCCAAGCAAAGCTTTCCTCAGCAAAATCCCAAGATGAGTATGAAGCCTTCCTTATGGAAGCTTTAGTCCAAGTCAATCCCATAGCTTTCTCAAAAATGGGCTCCAACAGAAGTGAAGGCTCAGGTTCTTTCCATAGCTCCCAAACAGATCTGGCCCAACCCAATGAGGATGACTGTTTTGGTATTTTTACCAAACAGCTCCAGTAAACAATATTCTCAAAAATCATCATTTCAATTCAAAAAAAAAAAAAAAAAAAAAAAAAAAAACACTACAGTTTAAAATTTTATTCAACAGTTCTCCATTTTTAGGCTTTTAACACCTTTCGTTGCTCATGACAAACAAGCATTTCAAAAAAAGAATCCAAGGCAAGTCAGTGGCCATCACCTCAATTTAGGCTTTGCACATAGCCTCCAGCATCATTAAGAAGACATCACCTCAATTCAGTCTTTCAGGCTTTGCACATGGCCTCCAGCTGCATCCTTATCCCCAAGGAATCCAAGGCTCCTTCGAGGCCCTATAAATAACAGCTCCTCAAGACATTGAAGACAGGCTTATTTCAAATTTAGTTCTTAGTTTTCATTTCAAAAGTTCTCAGTTCAAATTGTAATTTTTAAGTTTAAGTTTTTAGTTTTACTTCATCCAAGGAGCTCGGCTCAGAACAAAAATGTTGTATTCAAAGATCAAAGTTGTAAGTTACATATTTTAATCAAAAGTTCTTCAAAGTTATTCATGTTCTGTTGTTTATTATTTATTCCATTATTTCCATATTTTATTTCATTATTTCGTTTGATTATTTAACCCTTTCAATATTCTGTTTCTCTCATAGTTCATTATCAGTTGTTTATACTCCCTCCGTACTAAAATAAATCACCACTTTGAAAGTTGTAATTGTAAGTCACAATTTTCAAAGTAGACATCTATTTTGAAAGGGAGGGAATATATATTATATTATTATTTTTTGATATAACCATGTTGCATCCATATCTATTTTTCTTTTTGATATTTAATGTATCACCGTATTGGGTCATACTAGTGTCCCTATCCGTGCTTATTAGGTGTTTGGTTATGAAGAGCTAGATAATGTGGGTGCAATAGTTATTTATTAGAACCTTAAAAAAAAAAAAAAAAAAAAAAATAGGTCCTACTTTTTTTGGACAGAAGGGGTAGCATTTGGTCACAAATGTAACAAGTCCAGCGACTTTGGTAACTAGGTAACCTAGTTAATGCCATCCATCACTTTTTTTTTTTTTTTTTGGAATTTTAAGCAAGTATTATAAATGTAAAAGTAATTACAGTGAGGGCCTTTTGGCCAATCAACTCGTAAGGGATTATAAGCCCACTTTAGGGTGAAACAGAAGGGTCCAGGCCCATAAATGAAACATAACCTTAAGCAATAACTAAAAACCAAAATTAACTGCCTTTAACTATTGTTAATGGTGGTTATCAGCCGTTCAATCCGGTGATCTTAGACTCTGGCATTAAGCCAACAGTAGCTTATATCCAGCGGGTGAGAAGGAGGTCTGCTGCAAGAGAGGGATAGGTTCCACTCTGAGAGAATTTTCCTGGATGTAGTGTAGTCTTGGAGGAAGCCGAGCCTGATGATTGCAGTGATGGTGGAGCATATTCGAGCAAGGACTTCCCTCTGTGATGATTTCTTCTTTTTGAAGATCCTCTCGTTCCTTTCTTCTTAGGTATGATATACCATGGCTGATAAGCAAACTTTTCTAAGAATATTTGGAGCTGATTTTGCCTTCCATCTCACATTAATACACTGTATGAGCTCCTCCCAATTTGTAATTGATGTGTAAAATTGGCATCGATCTTTAATAAATCTCCAAATTGGGGAGGTACAGCATCAATTGAGAAAGATGTGGTCATGTGACTCTGGATGAGAAAGACAAAGGGAACATATGTTAATATGGTTCCCCTTTGATCTGCTGTCAAGAGTTGGCAATCTTGATTGCACTGCTAGCCATAGGTTTAGCTTCATTCTAGGGATTATTGGTGAACACCACACGATGTTGTGCCATTGAACTGAAGGTTGATGGCTTGCAAGGAAAGAAGCTGTGTGTCTAAGGCTGAACAAACCTGTTGAGGATGCAATCCATCTCTTCTTATCTCTCCTTGAAAGGACTGGGGGTGTATGTGGAGCAATTCAGGAATAGAGGTTGTGATAGAAGGGGGAAAGACCAAGAGGAACCCATAATGAAATTATCTAGAGTAGTAGCTTGGTTGATATCAATCTGTGAAAGGATTGATATGGGGAACCTAGTGCATAGTGATCCTCCTGGAGCCCAATTATCCAGCCAAAATAAAGTATCTGAGCCATTGCCAATGGAATGCTTTAAGAGTAGTCTTGTTGGATGTTTAAGTTGTAACAACTTCCTCCAGTTCCAAAAACAAGAATGGGGTATATTGATCTCCCACAGATTTCTTAATTTGATTAGATGAGTGTTGCACCACTTAATCCAAAGTCTGTCATTGCTGTCAGTTTGTAAATCCCAGATGAACCTCATAATCCTAGCCTTGTTTAACAGTTCCAAGTTAGGAATTCCTAACCCCACAGCTGCTTTTGATCTTCAAACCTTGACCCAAGTCACTTTAGCTCCAGTGGATTTCATTTCAATACCTGACTAAAGGAATGATCTGAAAGTCTTGTTGAGCTCATGAAAAACAGCTTTAGGTAGGATGAAGATGCTAAACTAATAAATTTGTGTTGAAACTAGGACAGCCTTGATGAGTTGTAGCCTTCCAGCATAAGAGAGTGACCTAGAGGACCAATGAATGATTCTCTTGGTGATCTTTTCAATTAAGAGGCTGTAGTGAAAGGACTTGAGGTTAGTGGAAATCAGTGGTACTTAACTGAAAGTGAGCCTACTTGTATTCCAAGAAAAGAGGTGATTAGTTGATGAGTGTACTGGTCCACTCCTGATAGAAAAATTGTGCTTTTAGAGGTGTTAATATCAAGACCAGACATGGTGTTGAAGTAGTCCAATACTGACTTGATCACTGACACTGAGGTGATATCTCCATGGCAGAAGAGGATGAGGTCATCTGCATATGAAAGGTGAGTGATCTTGAGTTCTCCACATCTCCAGTGGTACTTGAATGCCCTAACCCTGCTTATAAAATTATTAATGATAGAGGATAGTGCATTTATCACTATTACAAAGAGAGGGGGAGATAGGGTCTTATTGTCTTAACCCTCTATTGCCTTTGAAGAAACCCTTGAATTCACCATTAATTGCAATGGTAAATGAAGGTGAAGAAATGTAGGCATGGATGAGGGAGATGAATTTACTTAGGAATTGGAGAAGTGTTAAACACCTTAAGATGAAATCCAACTTAACAGAGTCATAGGCTTTGATTAGGTCAATCTTAATTGCACACTTGGTAGGTCCATTATTTTTGTAGTAACCCCTTAATAGTTCATGGGCCAGAAGGATTGGATTAGTGATCTTTCCTCCTTGGTTGAAGGTTGATTGAGAGCTGTCAATGATGTGAGGAAGAGTGGATTGAAACTTGGTTGCAAGCAACTTTGCAATGCACTTGTACACTGTGTTACAGCAAGAGATTGGTCTGTAATCATGCATGGATAAAGGGTTTTGGCATTTAAGGACAAGTGAGATGTAAGTGTTATTTGCTTCTGAAAGTAGTTTTCCATTGGTGAAGAACTCAGTGATAGCTCTAGTAACTGATCTACCCACTATTCCCCAACTTTTTTGAAAAAAGGTTGCATTGTAGCCATCAGGACCTGGAGCTTTGTCCCTATTGAGCTTGAACATGTAGTTTTAAATGTCCAAAGGGGATGGAATTTCATCTAAGAGGGCCTTGAGATGTGATAGGACCTGTGCAGTGATAAATGGCTGCAATTCAGAAAGTGTATGAGTTGTTGGAAGGGATATACCTAACAACCTTTGGAAGTGTCCCACAATTTCTATTATGATTCCATCCTTGCGGTCAATGATTTGGCCTGAATCTGTTGTGATGGATAAGATCTTTTTCTCGTTATTTTTAGAGGATAATGACTTGTGAAAGTATGCTGAATTGCTGTCTCCAAACTTCAACCAAGTCATTCTAGACTTTTCTCTTAGCACGTCCTTTTGGTGATTTGTAAGTTTTAAAAACTTTGAGATGAGGGACCTCTCCATTTCTCTTAGTGAGACGTCACTGGGGAAGCAATCATGGTCAAGTTGGCATGCATCTAGTTCAACTTTGACTGCATGAAGCTTTGAATCCAATGCCAAGAAATCTTTCCAGGACATTTCCTTGAGGACTGGCTTGAGGAACTTTAGCTTTTGGACCACCTGAAACATTGCAGTCCCTCTAATGAATGTTTTCCATACATTATGTACTGAAGTTGAGAAATTTTGGTGTGTGGCCCAAGCATTGAAGAATCTGAAATGGATGCATCTCCTTGGAATCTGAAAATCCATGCTAACCAAAATTGGACTGTGGTTTGAAATACCAAGTGTGAGGAAAGTGCATTCAGAGAATGGGAAGGTAGAGGTCCACATTTGGTTGATAAGGGCTCTATCCAGTTTCTTTGCAATAGAAGCAGTACCCAGACTTCTGTTGGAGCAAGAATATAAGATCCTATTGTATTTGAGGTCCTCTAATTCAGTATGCTGCAAGCACTCCTTGAAATCAATCATTACAGGGCTCCACTTTATTAAACCTCCATGTGACTCTCCAACATTGGGGATGACATTAAAGTTCCCCATTAGTAGCCAAGGATAGCAACTGTAGAGGCCTGCATGGTGGATCAAATTCACCCAAAGAAACTCTCTTTCAATTACACAGTTAGAGGCATAAATGAAGGTAGTAAAAAAGGTAATGTTATCTCCTATGACTATTATTTAACAATGAATTGCCTGCTTATTAGCATCAATAACAGATAGTTAAAGTTGGTTAGGATTGCACAATACCTAAATTCTCCCAAGATCAGAGAAGTTGTAATTGTGAGTTATGTCCCAATTTGGTGCCAAAAGCCTGTGAATGAAATTCACATTTAAGGGAGATACTTTTGTTTCAATGATGGAGACTAAGTCAAGCCTTTTGTCAGATATTAGTCTCTTTATCTCTGACTACTTAGAGGGTTGGTTCAACCCTCTTCTATTCCATGTAAGAAAGGATATCATTAAAATGAAGGTGTTAAGTAACCTCCAGGATGTCCATTCCCCTTTGCATATAGCTTAGACATCAATCCAGTGTTGCAGCATGGCTTCTTTCTAGCCTCTTTCTTGAAGCTTCTTACTGTCTTTTTGTTGTGCAAGTTGCTTGGGCTTTCTGTTTCACTTAGGGATGCTTGGTGAAAAGGGACATCACTGTTAGACTTCCTCAGCAGTTTTCCATGATCCCTGGATTGTGGTATAACATTTGTTTTGTTTGTGATAGGGAGGATGTGGCAATTGGTTGGTATAGGGAGTGGCTGGAGTTGTTGCTGGGGTGTTGGTTTTGATTTGGAGGTTGATTTGTGGGTTGATTTCTGGGGTGAGAAATTTAATTTCCTGCTGCATAGGGGGAGTGGTTAGGTATGTTAGCTTGTGGTGATGAATGTATGGAGGATGTGATATGAGTAACTGAATGATGTGAGGTTGGTGAGGATTGATGTGTGGAGGTAAGGGAGATGGTAGAGTTCTCAAGCCGTGGAGAAGTGATAGTATCAGAATTCATTTGGGATAAGGTGTGGAAATGGTTATTTGTAGATGTAGAGAGTTGAGAGGTTTGCTTCACTATGGTAGCTGATGTGGTTTTGTTCTTCTTTTTCTGACTGTAACCCATTTAATGGTTGGTGGAAGGTCACTTGCAGGGCTGTTATCCTTCTGAATTGGGCTTCTTGGATGAGGTGGTGTATTTGTCCTCTTGGTTGTGTGAACTATGGGGAAGATGATGTTGAGGGGACAATTTGTATCAAAATGGTTCAGCTGATTACATTTGGTGCAAAATTTTGGTAGCCACTGATATTCCATTGTGATATTCTCAATGCTGTTGTCGTCCATTTTCAATTTGACTTCATTCTTTGAGGGCTTGGTGAGGTCAAGGTTGATACATAGTTTTGCAAATTTGAGTTTAGTCCTTCATTCAGTTGATTCATCTGCATATAAAGGTTCCCCAATTGAACTGGCAATGTAGCAGAACCCTTTTACTGTCTAATATCTTAGGGGGATGTTGTAAAATTTCACCCAAGCAGGGATGCAGCTAAAGTGTGTTGGTTTAAAGTGGTTTTGGTGATTCCATTTCATAAATGAGAAAGGATGTCCAGCAATGGACCAAGGACCCATAGATAAAACCTTCTCAGCCTCTATGCAAGACTTGAATCTGAAGAGAAAAGTGTTATTTTCACTGAGGATGGTGTTTGTGAGTCCATGTATGCCCTATAGCTTAGCTGCAGCTGATTGTATCACTTTGAATGGTAATCTTTTATGAAATGATACTCCTATGAGATGTGCCTTGCCCCAGAATTGCAGGCCTTCTTATGCAACCTCAATAGGTGGGACAATGAGGTCTGGGCAGTCAATAGGTGGGGGGATATATTCAAAGTCCATCTTTGAAGTGTTTTTGTTTTACTTGACTATTTAAGACCATGTTTTTGTGTAGTGGTTGTTGTAAGGTGGCAAAGTAGAGGTAGCTTTTTCAGTGATGTGACGGGTGAGGTTTGATAGGGGGAGGGGGTTTGCATTGTTTGGGGAGTTTTGTTGAAAGCATAGAGTATGCATAGGAAAGTAGTTTGTGTTTTTGCTATTTTGGTTAAAAGTGTTGTCTGTTTGTTCTTGCACTTTGTTAACTATTGGATTAGCATTCAAATTTGAATTCAAATTCAAACCTGTTTGCGATCCTCCATGTGCAGGTTACCCACGTGCTGTGGTGGTGGAAGTGATAGTGGTGTTGATAGCTGCAGCTGGTGGTGGAGTATCAGTGGTATGTGGACGCAGGTGCTGTGGTGACTTCCTGTGTGCTACCTGTGGCCTGGTTTCAGTGTATTAACCTATGGATTATTGATTTTTGGTGGAGGAGGATGGAGAAGTGGTTGCAGTAGGTTTGCTTGTTGGTGATGGCTGATGGCATTGTTTCATCTGTTTTTTAACCTCAGTTAGCTCAGCTCTTAATTCTGAAACAATTTTCTTCTGATCTTTGTACATATCCAAGGCCTTCCCCGGGTTCTCATCCTTCCACTCAAGTTGCTCTTACAACCCTTCAATTTTATGGCCTGGATAACTATATAAGAGTGGGTTGAAGTTCTTTGGGATGTAATTGTTGTTTTTATTTGAGGATGGAGGCTTGTTTACATTAGATTGTACCTGTGATGGCTTGGATTTCTTTGGGGTGAGGTTGTTGTGTTTGGAGGTGAGTAATCTGATGGGTTTTGAGATGGGTGAAGGGAAATGTGAGTGAGTTTTCCCATTGTTTTGAAATGGGATAGGAGGAGGGTAGACTTCAGTGATCAAGCTTGGAGGATGTAGGTTAGGAGGATGAGCCTTCTGAGTGATGATTTCCTGAACAATGTTGTCCCTTGGTGTCTTAGGTGTGGGTGGAGAAACAGTGAAATTTTTTGAAAGCTTGACTGGTTAAGGTGCATTGGTGCTGGGGTGTTAGGGTATGAAAGGTGGTTTTAGGTGGTTCTATATGGGGTTGGACAGTGAGGGAGGATTTAGGTGGTTGATTGTTGAATGTGGAGAGATGAATTGTGGATAGAGCTGCGGGGGCGAAGGAGATGATGGTGGAGAGCATTCTTCATGGTTTTTCCAGAGAGCATTCTAAGCAGTACACGCATTGAGTGCTTCTTACACCATATTCTATCACTTTTTGTTAGTAACTCGGGATGGATCAGAGGATGAATAAAAGAAAAAGTCTTAGTGTTTGGTTGGAGGGAAAGGAAAAGAGGAAGGAAGTATCCCTCCTTTCTTCATATTTTTCTATCGGTCCAAATTTGGGAGGAGAGGAGAGAATCTATCAAAATTTATTTTAATTTATATTTTTAACTTTTTTTTTAAAGTATCCCTCTTTGCTTCACATTTTTCCATCAGTCCAAATTTGGGAAAAGAGGAGAGAATAATGATAACTATCAAAATTTATTTTAATTTATATTTTTAATTTAAAAAAAAAAAAAAATCCAATCAACCCTACTATCTTAAACTACATTAGCAACTTTTGGATAGTTTTTGGAAAGCAACAGTATATCACTGTGCCTTGGATATTTTATGTAAAAAGCAATTCAAGTACGTTTCATTTTAAAAAAATGAATCAAAATTACTGATGCTAATATAAGTTTGTAAAAAGAAGTCTATTGGATTTAAAAAATAAAAAAATAATAATAATAAAATAAAAAAACAACAACAACAACATTATGAATTCTATACATTACTCGATAAAAAATTTATTATAAAATAATTTGCACAAAGTTTTACTTTAAACCCAATAATAAGGGTATATTGGTAAAAATAATATAAAAACTCTTTCTCTTCTTTCCAACTAAGCACAAAAAAAAAAAGTGTTATCTTATTCATCTTTTCTCTTATCCAATCTATCCTCTCCCTTTCATCCATTATTAGATGTTTAGTTTTTTTGTAATATCTTATTAATCTATGGTGGATTCAACTTTTTTTTTTTTTTTTTTTTTTTTTTTTTTTTTGCAATTGGAACATGAAATTATGTTTAAGGGGGCATAATGCAATAATTTTTTTTTTTTTTGAGAAGTTATGAGGGGGGATGGCTCGTCCTTGGTTTAAAAATGTCTAATACTTTCTTGCCAACCTAAAGTAATTTAAAAATATTCTCTTTATCTATGCTGATTTGTCATGTATCCACGGTGTTACTTCTTTTTCAGCCAAACCTAACTGAATCCGGATGAAAAAGCAAATGAGTATATATTGACTGGTTATTACTTATTAGTTCCACCCAACAGTTTAAATTTTTGGGTCAAATCGCAAAGTACTTAACATGTTACAATTATTATCAGAGACAGACCTAATCCTTGATTTGGTACCACGCCAAGTGTCCGGCCTGTAGGCGCCCGGGTGAGCCCCCGAGTAAGTAGGATGGCCCAACCGCAACGACGGCATTACGACTTCGGATGAGAGAGAATGTTAGAAGGGGTATATATATGTCTGCTCTGATAACAATGGACTCGTCAATCAACCAGTGAAAGGGATAGACACACAAAGATGAGAGAGCAAGCTAGCATGGGGGCAAAGGCAGTAAATTCCGGAGCAAAGCAAGCCCTAAAAATCTGCAGGGGTCAAAAAATGTAGAGCACAAAGAAATAGACTGCACTCTTTTCTTTTTAAAATAATTATCATTTAAAAAAAATGTTTAAATATAATAAAAATATATATTATGGGTTAATTATAAACATAATATAAAATTTAGGGAAAAAAAATAACAAACATCTAACTCTAAGTTCCAAATTGGTGATTTCATTTATGATTATATGGATAATGAGAAAAAAATTATTATACACACATATATATAATACTCCCTCTGTCCTAAAATAAATTAACACTTTGAAAATTGAAATTGTAAGTCAAAATTTTCAAAGTAGACATCTATTTTTAAACAGAAGGAGTTTATATTATATTATTATTTTTTGGTATACCCATGTTGTATCCATATCTTTTTCTTTCTTTTTTTTGACAATTGTTGTATCATCACATACCTATTGTGTCATACTAGTGTCCTATCTAAGTCACAAAAAGCAGGAGCGGGAGCAGGAGCGAGAGCGAAT